GCTCGGCCTCCCAGAGTGCTAGGATAACAGGCATGAGCCACTGTGCCCAGCCCAGGTGGCCCTTTTTAATGTGAATGGGCCTCATCTAAACTGTTGAAGACCTGAGTAGAGCAAAAAGGCTGATCCTCCTCTGAGTAAGAGAATTCTTCCTGCCTGACCGCCTTTGAGCGGGGATATCAGTCTTTTCCTGCCTTCATACTCAAACTAAAACATCGGCTCTTGCTGGGCCTCCAGCCTGCCAACTTTCACGTGGGAATTACATCATCGGCTCTCCTGGTTCTCAGGCCTTTGGGTTTGGACTGGAAATACACGAATGACTCTCTTGAGTCTTCAGCTTGGTGACTGCAGATTGGGGACTTGCCCACCTCTGTAATTGCATGAGTCAATTGCTTATAATACACATCTTTCTGTATACATCCTGTTGGTCCTGTTTCTCTGGAGAACCTTGACTAATACAATGTTATAATATGAGCTGCTCAAACAACTGGAATCAGCAATTTCTGTGTGTAGCCCACACTGGATCTTATCTTCTGCCATCAAGTGTTGAGCAGCTTTAAGTACCTGTTACCGAGTACCTACCTGCTGTGCCCGAGATTAGAAAGAAACAAAGTTAGATATCCTTACTCAAAGATCATAGTCCAGTGTCATCAGTATGCAAATTTCTAGAAAGATTGTCTATGTGCAGCCACACAAACACACTTATCAAGTCAAAAAAGATGTTTTCAATGGGAAACTGGCCATGCCCTGTGACTTGCTAAGGCAGAGATGCCATTCTGGCTCCACTTGCTATTAATAAAATCTGAGCTGTTAAAGCAAAAAGGCAACCTTTTTTCCATCCTGTGAGTGCGTATACACTGCTTGGTTTTGAATCTTACCTTTTCCCAATTTCTAGTTATGTGGCCTTGGGCAAATTAGTCATTTTTGTACATTTTGTTAAATGTAACATAAGAGCAAAAGTAGTACCTACCTCACAGCATTTTTGTAAGGTTGCACAGGATAATATTTGTAAAGAATTTAGAACAGTGCCTAAAACCTACCATATTCTGTCAAATCTAAGATGCTATTAATTTGGAAATACACCACTATTATGTGTATTCCTAAGAAGGAAAAGCAGTGCCAATCATTATTGTAAGGTGCTATTGGTTGTGTCCCCTTCCGATGTTAAAAGATGAAAAAGAAATATATCTTAAAATCAATGAGGTATGATAGTTGGTGCTGTGTAAATCAATAAAATCCTGGATGAAGCAAGCTGATTATTCAGGGCAGTGTGGACCAGTCCTACATTTGAATAGGAAAAAATTTATTTGCATTTGTGAATGGTTATCTAAATTGCAACAAAGTTCTAAGCAAACCATGGTATCACCGAATGTCCACATCACTTCTTGACTAGTCCAAGAAGTTACTAAACCATTTTTTTCATTTTCTTAATGAGGTTTAAAGCTGCCTTCATTATGGACTCTCTTGGAGGGGGTCATTTATTAATCTAATTAAAGCATGACAATTGTTACAGACTGTATGTTTGTGTCCTCCTCAAATTCATGTTGAAATACTAACCCCCAATGTGACTATATTTGGAGATAGGGCCTGTGAGGAGGTGATATAGGTTAAATGAGGTCATAAGGGTGGGGCCTTAATCCGACAGGGCTGGTACCCTTATAAAAACAGGAAGAGACACCAGAGCTCTCTCTCTTCTCCATGTGATGAGGACACAGCAAGAAGGTGGCTATTTGTAAGCCAGGAAGAGAGCCCTCACCAAAAATCAAAGTGGCTGACATCTTGATGTTGGACTTCCAGTCTCCAGAACTATGAGGAATAAATGTCTTTTAAAAGCCACTCAGTCTGTGATATTTTGTTATGGCAGCCCAAGCAGACTGAGACAATGACCAACGGGGAGGGCAGTCTCTGAGAGAGAACTGTGGATGAATTCATCCTGGCCCCTGCACATGGCTGGTGATTAGCTGTCAGGGAATGTTTGACCTGAAGGTGCTTATCTGCAACGGGAAACCGAAGGCAAGATCTCCCCGCCAGCCCTTCCCAGTCCTCACTTCTCTGCTTACTCAGTGCTAAAGTTACTCATGCTACTTTACTGACATTATAAATACTATTTATTTTTACAATTGTATACGATGACCTATGGAAAATCGACACTCTTGTTACGAACATTCAATTAGGTTTATAGTTTTAATCACTTCTCTATATTCATGCTTTCTTCAGTAGTGGATTAGAAATTTTCTCTCTTGCTAGTAGTTTGATTCTCTGGGCACTGGTTCTGCCTCTAGGTATTTTACAAGTGAAACTTTGCCTGAGTATTTTGTTCTCACCAGTCATTGCTTCTGCTTCTGTCGATATTTAAGATAGTATGACCTGGAAGTTTCAGAAAAAAATTCAGAATAATATAGAGGTTATTTTTTTGGAAACCTATCTTTATGGATAAAAATTCTGAATTATGAAATACTCTTAAACAAGTTTTATTTTGAAGCACATGCATCAGCAGAAGCCAAGTAAAGCATGAAGCAATGGGAATCCTTGGGGAAACCTGTTTTTATGAGTAGATGAAATTGCTTACAATTCACATAACAATTTGTATGTAAATGGTTCTATCTGAAAACTGTGAGCATGCACAAGGGTACTTGAAAAGGTTGTCTTTCATTAATAACTTGTGAACATTACTTCTACAATCTTCTTTACATTATTTTTTTTATCAGAGCAAAGCTAAGTCTCCCCAGCCTGGTATAGCCAGAGTTGGTGCATTAGTTACCTATTGCTATGTAACAAATGACCCCAAATCTTAGAAGCTGAATACTAGGAGGTGGGGATGACTGGGGAGCATCTTAGAGGGTGGCTGTCACTGTTGACACATGACCTAAGCCAGGCCAGTCAGGTGTTCCCTTCTTGGAACTGACATTTTAAGTAGAATGACAGACACAGAGTAGAATCCTTCGTGTTGAGCCATGAGAATGGTTCTCCTTATCGTTAAGCTGTGTTCTCTCTTGGTTCTGTAACTCCTGACAATTTTCCGATAAATTCTCTTTGCATTAGGTTAGCGCAGATCAATTTCTGTTGTTATAACAAAACACTCCTAACTGATAAAATGGATTCTGGTGTAAATTGCACTTCAGTGCGTGGGAAATAATGGACAGTACTTTCTGTTTATGTTGGGACTACAGGAGTCAGGTTTCTCATGGTTGGCGATGGGAGATACTGGTGAAGAACTGCGGAGAAAGTAGCAAGAACCTGTGGTGTTAGATTGCACTTGGAGACATCAGTGTGAACTCATGCTGTAATATACACGCACTTCCTCAACCTATTTGCTTAGAGGACCCTGAATCAGTCCCAAGTAGCAATGAGTAAACATACACATGAGATTTTGGTTCCTAAATCCGATGCGCCACTAAAAGTAATCATGGCTCCTTGGAGAAATGATGGGGACAGGAAAGATACTATGTAAGCCTGGAACATCTTCAGGGTCAGAAAGTTAGTAAGTTCTCAGAGAATGATGGGGATATGTCCAAATGACACAGCTGTCGGCTTGGTCTCCTCCTGCCCAGATCTGGGGCAATTTCAACATTAACAGAGAGTCAGTCTTACAACCATCATATTGATAATTGATTCAGGGAGAAAACATCAATGGGTACTAAAACCAGTAGATAAAAGTTGAATGAGAATGGGATATATATACATATAGTCTTAATATGTCTCCCCTCTAGATTTCATCTTAACTATGTGATTAAAGGTAATAGCACTGATAATGGGACAAAAGGACATCGTATGTTTCCTGATATGATACACTACAAATATAGAATCACTTCTCGGGTACTCTGCTAAAAATGCATTACTTGAATCTAATCAAGGGAAAGAATCACACAAAACCAAATTGAGAGACATTCTACAAAATAACTGGCATGTACTCTTCAGAAATGTCAAGGTTAAGAAAGATGAAGGCTGAGGAATAGTTTCTGATTAAAGGAGGCTAATGAAACGTGACGGCTGAGTGCAGTGCATGCACCTTGGTTGGATCCTGAGCAGGGGAAAAGTAACTATAAAAGGCATTATTGGGGTACTGGCAAAATTTGAATATAGTTCGTACATTGTATAATAGCATTCTATCATCAAATTTTGTGATTTTAATCATGTTACACAATGTCTTTGTTTTTAGGAAACACACACTAAAGTACTTAGGGGTAAATGGACATCATGTCTACAGCAGAATTTCCAATGGCTCAGAAAAGCAGAAGAAAGAGAGTGAATGGTAAAGCAGATTGGGCCACATATTAACAAGCCAGGAACGTGGGTGAAAAGTCTCGTATTAGTTTGCTATTGCTGCTGTAACAAACATCACAGTTGAGCAGCTTGTTTCTGTAGGTCAGAAGGCTGGCACAGTATGGCTGGATTCTCTGCTCAGGCTCTCACCACTGGGTTAAAACCAAGATATCAGCAGGCTACATTCCTTTATAGAGGCTCTGGGGAAGAATCAGCTTCCAGGCTCACTCAGGTTGTCGGCAGAATTCAGTTCCTTGCTGTTGTAGGACTGAGGTCTCTGTTTCCTTGACTTGTGGCCCCTCCATCTTCAAGCCAGCAACGGCACCTAGAGCTCTCCTCAAGACAAGCTTTGACTCTCTCAGGGCTTGTGTGATCACATTGGCCCCACCTGGATAATCTAGGCTATGTTCCCTCTATTAAAATCAATTAATCCTAATCACATCTGCAAGATTTCTTTTGCCATGTAATTAATGTCACATAACCATGGGTGTGACTCCAGGGGTTGAGGATTCTGGGGCCCTCATTTCTGCCTGCCACAGGTCACAAGAGTTTTCTGCACTGCACTTTCTCGCCACCTTTAACAGAAATTTGAAATTACACCAAGATAAAATGTTACAAAGATTCATATGCGTTCATTGCACAAGCAGTGGAAGATGTCATCATAACACTGTTGACGATTTTGGTGGTTTCATTTCCTCCTAACAGCACTGGGTCTGTTTCTCTCCCTCATTACCTCCCAGGCCACCACCAAATCAAGCAAGGGACCTGTGAGGTGGTCGCCGTGCACAGGTGCTGCAATAAGAACCGCATAGAAGAACGGTCACAAACGGTCAAGTGTTCTTGCTTCCCGGGACAGGTTGCTGGCACAACTCGGGCCCAGCCTTCTTGTGTTGAAGGTAAGACCTATCTGATCAGTTTCTCCAGTATTTCAAAGGGGCCTCAAACTACCAAGAACCTCCCTACTTTACCGTCTTTGCAACCTAAAGAAACCTAGGTTGCTTCAAGATCTGTGTCATTCCAAAAGTGAACATAAATACAACTCCAAAAATTTCTTGATGAGTAAAGTAAGTGTTTAATAATGTCAAAGGGTGCCAATGGGAGTTACATTACAGGACAGTTGGGAAGATGTGCCTCAATTCCTTTTTGCCTGTCTCCAAATCTCACCTATCTGTTTCCCCAGATGCTCTCTTCTCTCCTCTCTTATACCCTGTACTCAAAATTAGCAGTGTGGCTTTCTTACCTCGTGCTCAGTGTTATAGGCTGATATCCCCTTTGTTTAATTTCTAGTTTATCATTTTAGCAAACATTTATAGAACATTCTCTTCAGAGCAACTTCCCTGGGAATGGTTTGAGATCATGTATCATTCATTTGTAGTCTCTAAATCCCCTAGCAGAGTGCTGTGCCAATGGTTAAAAAATATATGTGAATGAATGTTGACGGTCGTAGGTGGAGGCCTGGGATTGATTCCTTTTGATGCCCCTGGCTTCTTCCAGCAGACACCTTGTTAGAAACAGATATCAGTCCCCAGGGGAACAGATACATGGGGTTAGCCCTGTAGCAGTTGCTCTGCAGTAGCGAGAAACTTTGCTGAAAATGAATGTTTCCTGTCTCATCTGATGCATGTCTAAAGGTCAGTGGTTAAAACACAAACACACCCACACATTCTTAACTCTAGATCTTACTGTACAGTCAACAATAGTAGCTGACTTACCCGCATCCTACCTCCGCTACCAAACACACACACACACAGACATACACAGATACGGGCTGTGTGGTCATAGTGGTCTGTATCAGTACCGTCTCAGCCACCTTGAAAGCAGGAAGGTATAAGTGGAAAATTTCCCATCTGTACTTCCTTATCAGAAACCCTGGGTGAAATGTGCTGCTGAATTCAGATTTCGTTCATGTTTTATGTGGGTAGCATAGGCATCTACCATCTATTACCTAACAAACCTAATGTGTTCTCCACTTGGATCCATAATCATAGGTGCTAATATTTCTGCAGTGAAATATATGAATGTTCATGCAGAACGGGATAAGGCAACATAAAGAACCTCCTGCTAATTCATGTCAGGGTTTGCTGCCATCTTACAGAAACCTTTCCATTTTCAGAGCTTTTTGGATTTGGGGATTATTGATGAGTGATTATGAACCTATAAAAGATGATGAAGATCTTTAACATTAAAAATAGTGGCATTTAAAAGAAATGTGCTGTTTCAATAACCCCCAGTGTAGTATATTTATCTGCTCCATTAATTGAGTACAAATCATACCCATTCTGTCACTTGCTCTCTCTCAAATCAGCCCACTTTTCTCCATTCCCACTGCCACCTCCACGGTGTAGGAGCCAACAGACATCTTGCCGAGGTCACTACCTCTAGTCTTCCATTTCCACTCTGTAGCCAGAATGATCCTTCTACAGAAAAACAGAACTAACCGATCATGTCACTCTCTTACTGAAAACCACACTTTATTGACTTCCCACTGTCATTAAGATATATATATATTTTTAACCATGTCTTACAAAGACCTGCAGGATCTGGCTCTCTCAGTTCTCTCTTTCAACTGTTCTAGCCCAGGTGGATGTGAGTTCTTTCCATAACCTCTTCTCTCTGCATCCTTTGCCTGAGTCATTGCCCTCCTCCCCACCACACACACTTGGTCTACTTAATTCCTGCTCTCCTTTCAACTCTCCTCTATTGTCTTGTATCACCCTGGACTTTCAGTTCATGACATTCATCCCATTTTGTTGTAAAAACTTGTTTAGTGACTGGATGCAGTGGCTCACACCTGAAATCCCAGCACTTTGGGAGGCCAAGGCAGGAGGATCGCTTGAGGCTAAGAGTTCAAGACCAGCCTGTGCAACATAGCAAAACCCTGTCTCTACAAAAATTTTAAAAATTAGCCAGGTGCGGTGGCA